ATATTAATTCCATATATATATAATAGCTAAATATGGGAGAGAGGGAAAATATATAATAATAATAGAAAAATTAAATAATGAAGATAAATATAATAAGAAAAAGAGTAAAGAAATAATAAGATAAAATACAAAATGTATACACATATAAATAAATAAAAATACATAAAATAATAGCATGTATTAGATAAAACAAATAACTAGGAGCATATAAATATATTTAATAATAATAATAATACTAAATAATCAAATATTAGGGAAAAATATTAATAATAGTAGAAAAAACAGAATAATAAAAATATAATATAATAATAATAATAAAAAAAAGGTAAAAACGGAAAGGAAATGTAAATATACATATATACATAATATACCATAATAAAAAAATAAACGTAATATATTAAATAATAAGAAGCAAATGGATAAATGAAATTAAAAACTAAACGTTAATTGATCTTAATCAGGGGTTAAATTGAAAAGAAGGACGAATCCAGTGGCCAAATTAAAAGAAAAATCAGGGTTCAAATTCAATTCTGGGATCAAAATGGAAGTTTTGAAAGAAAGCGAACAAAAACGTGATTCACCCCTTTTCATCAAAACGCACCGGTTTAAAGGAGATTGGGTCGGGTTCCAGGGTTGGTTTCACGGGTTGTATATATGTAAATAAATGTTTTTTTAAAAAACATTTCTCTCTTCTCTCGCCGAGCCCTTCCTTCTTCTCTCCCTTTTCTCTGGTTTTGTTCTTGAGTTTCAAGAACAGGCCACCGTGGCCTGAGAATGGTGGCCACCGCCTCGCCGCCGCTCATCGGCGATGGTCCACCCTGAAACTTGTTTCTTTAAAATCCGTTCTCTTCCCACAACCCAAAAATCCCAGTAGATCTTCGAAAATCGCCTTAAAAAACGCAGATCTGGGAAATAGGTTTCGAAGATAAAAGCCTCACTTTGTTCATCGGCCAAAACGTTTTTTTGTTATTTGTGTGGTTTCGAAGTCAAATCTCAAGCAACACTCAACATGCAACAGTGAAAGACGAGTGAACAGAGGTAAAAGATGCTACCTTCTTCTTATTTCCTTTTCGAAAGTGTTACAAAAGGCTTCGAAACTGCTTGATATCAATATTTCGTATGACTTTCTTTCCAAGTTCGTAGTGATTCCTCCCTTTTCAGCTTCTAATTACATGGCTTTATAGTGATAACCTAGGCTATTTTTAGAGTTTTAATCCGAGTAAAACTCGGTTTGTTTGTGGTCACAATCCATGACTCTGACTTGGTTGTTTGTCTTGGGTGTTCTATGTGGTCACGATGCCGAGAAAACCGGATGTGGGAAACGTGCTGCGCGAGGGAGCTTCGACCGGGTATTGCGGCGCTGGGGCGAGAGTCTTGCTAGGGTTTTCTGGGCAACCCTTGAATACCATTTGCTGTGGACCGTTGGATCTCATCTAGATCCAACGGTCACCATTGTTGGCGGCTGGGACAGGAGCGAACTAGGGTTTCTTCAACGTGGTGGGCTACTCACGTGGTGTGTGATGATTTTGGGCCACGTGTTTGGGCCTGCAAGTGTAAATTTTTTTAATAAAATAATAACATATATGTAATATATATGTAATATGTATATATATATGAAAAAAAAGAGTGTGTCTACATGTAATAAACAAAAATTTGTAATAAGAAAACGAATTAATTAATGAATATATTGAAAGTAAACATGTTAAAAGTTATAACATTATAAATAAATAAATAAATTAATATATAAAATCTTACGACATTCTTATGTAATTTTAGTTGTCATAAATATCTTCATCAACGTCCTCCCGAACCTATTGAAATTGTGTTGTATTAGTGATAGTTTCATCTAAGTTTTGTGGTAGTAGAGGAAAACATTCTGATATTGTTTCAATGTCATCTCTACTTCCATCCCCGATGTCTATGAAATCTCTGGGAGTATTATGGAGCACAACATACCAACCGTCATCCATTGGATCGTGACAGTAAAATACTTGTTTCACTTGAGAAGAAAATACATATGGTTCATCCATCAATCGTTGACCAATGTGAATTAATCGAGAGAAATTCACCATTGTAGACCCGAATCTATCTCTTTTTATGCCTATGTTTACATCAACCCAGTCACAGCGAAACAACACAACCTTTCGTTTTCCATAATAATCTAACTCAATAATGTCCGTAAGAATTCCATAATAATCAACATCTCCCTCATACGGATTATTGTCCCTGACACTAGCCTAACTGGTAGTTGAAGAAGTAACTACGATTCTAGAATTTTGTGTCCTCCTTAATCTTTCACGAGATTTCGTGTGGAACCTGAACCCATTAATGAGGAAAACATTATATCTTTTAACTATTCTATTCGGACATTGAGAAAGCCATTTAACTTCTTTTCTAAATTCTCTCCCACTCCAAACCTATTACACATGAATGGTGCATATAAAAGGGTTGATTTCGATATAAAAAGCAAGACATATATTATTTATAAGTATGTGGAATGATTTATTTGCTTACAGTATGGCCTAACCATTCATGAAAAGTTTCAGTGAATAACTTATGTATATCTCGCTGATGTAATCTTCGGGAGCGTGCACGAGATCTCAAGAATTCTTTAAACTCATTATAAAGTATATTATGTCGTTAAAGAATGATAAATATAAAAGATTAAGAAATTTCATTAGTATTGGGTCCGAAAGACTTACATGCGAAAGAATGATAAATATAAAAGATTAAGAAATTTCATATCGGTGTGCTTGTACCCAAGACGTGTCATCTAAGTGTGCAATTTCAACTTTCCCTAGTGGTTGCCCATAACTTCCAAACAAATAATCTTGAGCTAAGCCATTAGTACTGAACACATTATTTCTATTTGGTCTATTCCATCTTGTTTCAACATCTTCCAAATATCGGCAGAAACTTTCAACGATTATTACCTTCAATTAGGAGATCGACCATAGAAGGGTATGGAGCAATCGGAGTTCTATTCGGGTCATCATCGAGTTTCAACGGCAAGTTCAGACTGATAGCCTCCCAACGATAATTTGATCCATCGTCAGAGTAAATGCGCCACGTGGACATTCCGACGATAATTTCTCTTACGCAAGGCAACACCTGCTCTTTTTACCACAACCATTTGTTCACGTTTTCAAAAGCTATTATTTTCCTATTAGAAAGCTATTATTTTTCTATTCGAAACCGGAAAAATAATGCTCCTAACCAGTAAACCAGTAAAACACTATGTATAGATATGGGAAAACTATTATTTTTCTCAATTACATTATCTTTAAAGGTTTTCCTCATTTTCAGAATACCAACAAAAAATAAATAAATAAATTCAGTAGTGAGAGAAGGGATCAAACCGTGCAATCGTGAGATAACTGTTCGTCGGTGAGAGGGCCGATTTGGTCACCGGAGAAGATAGAAGACCACGTCGCTTGGAATCGTGTGAGGGTCACTGTTGTACCAGAGAAATCCCTTTTGAAGATAGCAGCGTTGAAATTATTTTAGGGATCAGGAAGGACAAAAGGGTCTAGCATATATTTACCCTTTGGCTGCGTTTTTAATAAAAACACCACTATAGTACATGTTTTTGCTGCGTTTTAATAACGAACGCCACTATTGATGAGCCCTATTGTAGTTTTTTTTCCTAAAAATGCCACTATAAACAACCATATTGCGTCGTTTATTAAAAAAGCCGCTACATTACTATTTTAACACTATTGCGGTGTTTTATTGATAAACGTCGCTAAATTACTATTCTATAGCGTCGTTTTTTTGGAAAAACGCCACTATAAACAACCATGTTGCGGTGTTTCTATAAAAATGCCGCTAAATTACTACTCTTTTACGGCGTTTGTTGAAAAAACGTCACTATAAAGAAATCTATACCGGCGTTTGTGCCATAAACGCCGCAAAATTACCACTCTATTGCGGCGTTTGTGTAAAAATGCCCTTAAAGTATCATTTTGTGGCGTTTGAAATGTAAATGCCGCTATATCCACAAATTTTGTGGCGTTTACTCTCCAAACGCCGCTAAAAACGCCGCTACATAACACTTTTGCTGTAGTGATGGTTAAAATAAATGTTGTTCTCCCGAAAAGTTTTGAGTTCAAGAAGCCGCTTATAATCCTTCGGATATGTGTCGTCAATGATTAAGAAATGTTATGAACGAATATTGTCTTATAATCATTTAGACTACTAAAAATCACAATTTATAACGTTGGGCTTTATGATTAAATAAATGCATGCATGCATGTATTGTTGAAGAATGCACAAGCAAGAAAAGATTCTTTGCGCTGGAAAAAAGAAACAAATGATTCGACTGAGAAACAGGCTCATGCATGAAACAATTTCATTACGCAAGAAAAAATGTTTTTACATCTTTTATGTAAAATCATATTACATATCAAATTCCCTCCGAATTCTTGCATTTCCTTTGTTTGCAGAGGAAGTACAAAAACAAAACTCGACTCGAAACAAAACCGAATTACTTAGTAGTTGCAGGTCCTGGTTGTTTGTTGCTACAAATGAAGTGAGTCAGTATTAATGGCTCTTTCCATGTCCTGCAACAAAGGAAAAAACGAAAGATGGATCAAAATAAAGATGATATGTAGCTATATATCAGAGAGGCATAGGGGAGAATTGATTAGAACAGGGAATTAAGAAAATGTATTTTGATCTCATGTACTTGGAAGGACGTTTGTGATGGCTCTGGTATGCTCGAAATCCTAATCGAAATCGTTTCTCGACTGGACTTATAGCTTGCATTCATGGATGGGTGAGAGCGAGCTGCACACGTGCTCGATATTCCTTCGCAAACCATTTTAATCTGCGCTCATCTCGGGAAGACAGCCGTTGCTTTCCATCATACCTTGGCATCTGATGCGACGGTGTGGTCGTAGGCACCGGGGTTGCGGTTGTTACGAATGCATCATCTCTAGCCTCACTAGCCTGCCAATGCCGACCATAAGAATCAGTAAAATTCTTGAATCATTATCATAGACCATTGTAATCTAGCAATTCAAAGGAACAAATTTTCACCATGATTATTAATTATTAGAAGGCTGACTGTAATTACTAACAGACATGTAGCATGCTGAATATTTGCAGCAGCAGCAGCTACCATTGGCCTTAGGATCCCGATATCATAAGCCGGTGTTAAATCTGGTCGGAAGAGCCCGAAATACCTCTCACATGTTGGCCCTGGCTTAAGATCTTCATCGAAAAGCGCAAATATGTAGGTCTCGAAAGTTCGGTTCGGCATAAGGGGTGTGCCTACACCGGATGTAACATGCCGTATAAGATTGCCATTGTATTCAGCTGCAGTCTCTGCATCAACACCGACTTGGACTGGATCCCCCATTGATGGCCAACCAGTTTCAGCAATGACAATCTCAAGATCATCAAATCCGAGGAGTTTCATGGCCGAATAGACCGCATCTAGTTGAGCATCCAACATATTTGTGTAAAACAACTCTGTGTTTTCATCGAACACTCCGGCATTGGGCAGGAACAGGGCGTAATCAAGGGTATCCGGTGAGCAGTCAAAAAATGGATAGGGGTTCACCATGAAGGGTGAATTGGTGTCTCTAAGGAAGCTAAGCAATGGCTTGAGAACATGCGTGTCGTAGCCTTGTCGAAATTTTCCGGTGGATGGTGGGGTTGAATTCGAGAGAATGCCTAAAGAGTGAGGCGTTGAGACCTGGATTCGACCGTCTAAAGCTGCAACAAGGGCTGTTTGGAGGGTTTGCATGGCTGGAACAAGACTGACAATTAACAACCTGTCTGCTGTTGATATAACTTCGTTGCCTACTAAAACTCGGACTATATTGGTAGCTGGTATGTGAGGTCGGATATAGTCTTCCACCCATTGTTGAGCAATATTTGGCCTGGTAAGGCCAGGGATTTGGTCATTTGGAACGGTTACCGTGACCGCGATGCCGGTGTGGGCAAAGGCTCGTAGAAATTCAGGATTCGCGTCGAAGAGCCTAACGTGGTTTATAACCGTGGACTCCTTAAGGAACTTTGCTACTCTAGGTGGTGGGGGAAGGTTGTTTGCGAGAGTGCCATAGTTGACCCCGATTGTCCCTTCAACTCCGACTCCGACGAGTGTCAATGCCAGAAATAGCAAACGTACGGCCACGGATCTCGAGGAACACATGGAGATGAGTTCCTTGGACATGGCTTTGATGCTGAATGATGGGGAAACTGTGCCTGAAGAAGTGGATAGGGAGAGATTCTTTTCTTTGTGAATGGAGGGGGCATGAAGCATATTTGCAAGAATTCTTTGTTGCTTGTGACTGTTGCACTCATGTTATTCTGCATCGATCAAGTCTTTGGTTTTTCCATGAGCTTAATTTAGTTAAAAAGATGGGTATAAAAGAAGCACAAAGTGGTGCTTGTATGTTATTTCTGATTTGTTAAAGTGGTGTGTCACCGAAGGGAATAATGTTTTCTTGCATCATGGAGAATGTTTTATTAAAGGGTTTGCCTTGAGTTCCTTTATTAGCTTAAATTATAAGGAAGGAGTGTTTAATGAGTTAAAGCAATTCATGAGTTACTTGAATTCGACTTGGTCAAATTCAATTAATGCTCGACTTGGGTTGATTGACCGAACTCGTGTCAAGACTTTAACGAGTTGAGTAAGGTTTAACTTGGATTAATAAATTCGCGGGCAATTCATTAATTTTTAATTGTTACCCCAAAAAAAGTATTCTATTAAAAATATAATTAATAATTTATTAATAGATAATAAGAAAGATGCTAAATTACTTTAATAATTATTATTCCCTCCGTCTCACTAAAGTTATCTCTTTTTAATTTTTTAAAAGTTAAAATTTTTAAACTTTGATCACGGTTGTTTTAAATATTTTAAACAATTAATTTTATAAAATATATATTTAAAATATACTTAATTGAAGATTTTAAAATATATATTTTTATAATTTTATTAATAGTAAAATTTAAATAATAATGAATCAAAGTTTAAAAGAATTGACTAAAAAAATTAATAAGAGACAAATTTAATAGAACAGAAATAGTATGATTTATTAATTTACTAATAAACAAAAGAAAAATATTGAATTATTAATTAATAATTATTAACTTACTAAATTTTACATATAACTAAAAATAAGGTAAAAATTATAGTGAACTTAATCGAACAACGAGTCGAATAACAAGTTCTTTTAATAAACAGGAGCAAAAAAATTAAAATTAACGAGCAATAAGTTAAGTCGAATAAACTTTTTTTTTTAAAAACACACTATGCAACTTACGCTCAACTTTCTATAAATATCACTATCAAGAAGTTGTCTGAGATTCATTATGAAACTAACATCTTATAGGGCCACACTCATCATTAAATGATGAGAAAAAATAGTATAAAAATATAACACAAGTACTTATATATCTATTTAATACAAAACAAAACAAAATATGAATATATAAATATAGAATAATAAAATACAGGAATACATGAACTCGGCTGATATCAGACACATTGTTGCCAATCATCTATAATTCCCCAACATTTCCACCTCAAAGGTCTACCAGAGACTGATGAACTTCAACGATGTATCCTTCTATTAAGTATGTTCAAGTAATTAAAGAGGAAAACCTAAGTTAAAGGGAGTACTCGTCTCTCTAAAGATTCTAAGTTTAAGCAGTTGCGGCTGTAGAGTATGTGCGTGTTTTAAGAAAAAAAGATTATGAATAGAGATTATCTTAAAATTACCTTGAATTATTAAAAAAAGACAATGATCTTATTTCACTACAATATATTATTTTTAGGGTAAAACTTCCACGATAATGCATGGGGAAAACTTTATTTCCCAAAATAATGTTGTAATGAGATTATTTCCCCAAATGAGGCGTTTTACACAGGAAACATGATCTCTCGACGTCTTTACCAGATTTCTCGGCGTTCTTCAAGTTTGCAAGGGATATGTCGGCGTGTTCAACATAATTTGCATGCAAAATGGATCTCTAGGCGTCTTTAACACAATTTGCATGGAGGCATGGAGGTCTAGGCGTCTTTAACACAATTCATGGAGGTCTCGACGTCTTCAAATTCAAACTTGGAGGGCTTGGCGTCTTCAACACAATTTCCATGCTCGTTAGATTTCTCGGCGTCTTCCATTGGTTTGGCAGCCATAGATTTTGGAGCAAAATGAGGAAACCATGGGAATATAATGGGTTGTAACAATAAGGATAGGGTTAATGATTTTAGTGCAGCTCGGTCCCATAAAACAACACAAAACAAAGTAAAAGTAAAAGCTTGTATGTGACAATGGGCAATAATCCATCGAAAACATAACACAAAATAGCATAAAACAAAGAAAAAGCAAAAACAAAGCATACATTTTAGAAAAGTTAATCAATAATGCATCGATAATGGGCAATAATGCAGAGAAAATTTTGCATGGGGTCGGGCTGGAAATCACTGCATGCATGTGAAGTAATAATAGTTTCGTAATAATGGACCAAAGATTTATAAATAGAGGATAGTGGGAGGAGAGAAGTGTGAGTTCGGGGAGAAGTTAGAAAAGAATAGAAGAAAATCTTGCATGTTCGAGAGTTATTGCGGGAAAAAAAGGAGAAAAAAGTTCGAATAAAGGAAGAAATAAATCAAATATTTAGTAAGTTTTATGTAATTTTTATAATTGTTACATTATGTTAATTTTAAATAGAAATTAATTAGATAAATTTTTTTTTTAATTTTAAAGAATGAACTATATTTTTTGTTTTGTTAATGAGTAGGTTTAGTGATTGGTGGTTATTAATTATCCATTAATATACTGGTAGGTTGGTGGTTGCATGTTATTAATTATCCATTAATATCCCGGTAGGTTGGTGGTTGCAGGTTATTAATTATTCATTATAATTATGAATGTAATTTATTCTGAATATCTTTATTTTAACGTGTAGAGAAAATGAACAACAGATTTTTCACGATTGTCCATTACAATGGACATATGATGGAAAATGAGGTCGGGGTTATTTTTCAGTCTGAAGCACCTATAAATATGATGTTTAAAAGGGACATCATATTTGTAGAGATGAAGGCGAGGATAGAAAGAAAAATCCATGCTAAAGTTGATGGTTTGAGGTACAGATTTATGGTATGTCCCAATCTGGTCAAGTATGCTGCAGTACCAGTTGAAGAAGAAGATGATATTATAACTATGATTGAATTACATGACTTAAAAAAAATTCCAATTATTGAGTTATTTGTTGAGTTGTGTAATATATCTAATGTGCCTGGGTCATCGAGAAATGCAGTTGGAACTTTATCTCAAATGGGTTTCGAGAAATTTCGATAACCCGACATATAGGTGATAAACAACTTTATGACATTGTTGGAAAGTGCAAATGAAGTTGGTGGAACATCTAGAGGCGCACAATATGACGCTGAAAACCGATGGGAAGAAATACTTGAAGATTCCAGTGAAGATGAAGAAACTAAAGAACCTCATTTGGCTGAGGATGACGCCATGTTCGATGGTGATGAAGTTGATATCAATATTGGTGAATATTCGATACCGTATCAACATACCCCTCACATGAAGGAGATTGATTATGAAGCAATGAGGACACCTGAATTTCCAGAGATGCCACATTTAACTGCATGATACATGACTAAATCGTCCGATAACTCTGGTGAATTATCAGTTGGGAAGAATATAGAGGAAAAAAAGAAGCTACACTAGCGATTAAAGAGTATTGCATAAGAGGCCATGTAGATTGCAAGGTTGTAGAGTCCAACCAGAAAACTTTGTACGCGAAGTGTGTTAAATATGGGCCTGAGTGTAACTGGCTGATCAGAGTGTCCAAAATACAGAGGCAAGATGCTTGGGTCATCAAAAGGTACAATGGTTCACACACATATTTGTAAAACTCTATCGAACAAGACCACCGACTACTGGACTCCGATGTAATTTGTCAATATGTGAAGGTTTTGGTTGAACAAAATCCAAGGATCCCTTGCTCGGTGTTAGCTGCATCTATTCGAGATCAGTTGAGATACAATGTAAAATACAAACTCGTTTGGCATGCGAAGGAGAAGGCAAGGAGGTTGATATATGGTGATTGGGATACATCATACAATGATTTACCTGATTTGTTATGAGCTATGAAACAATTCATACCTAGGACCATCGTGAAGTCTCAGACCATGCATGCATACAAACGAGAAGGTCAACTTGTTTTAGGGAAGAGAATATTCCATAGACTCTTTTGGGCATTCAAGTCATGCATAAAAGGTTTTCCATTTTACAAACATATGGTCCAAGTAGATGGTCTGTGGTTATACGGTCTATATAGACATATATTATTGACAACAGTTGCGCATGATGGTCAACGAAATATATTCCCAATTGCATTCGCCATCGTTGAAGGAGATACGACAAAGGCTCGGGACTTCTTCTGACTAATCTACGTAAGTATGTCGTTTGAGAAGAAGGAGTTTCCTTGATATCTAATCGAGGAATAGGCCTTTTGGCAGTAATTGAACATCGGGTAGTCGTTGGACACCTCCGCACGCATATCCCGCATATTTTATCCGTCATATTAGTAAGAATTATATTGAGAAGTTTCATAACGGCCGTATTTAGGGAGATAGTCAGCATGGGTAAGTTTTATTTTCAGCATTTGTACCCATTTATGTGTTTGTTTATAAATTGACTTTAACAAAATATCTATTTTGAAACACGATATGAACTACGCCAACCAAATTTCGACAAGAGATTGGAGGATTTGAAGGCCATAGATGAGCGTGTTTAGAACTGGGCGTCGAAAATCGAGCGGGAGAAGTGGTCACAAGCATACTATGGTGGTCAAAGATACATACACATGACTACAAACCTTGTTGAGACCATTAATTCAGTACAAAAAGGTACACGCCATCTCCCAACAACGAGTGTGGTGAAAGAGACATACTTTAGGTTGGCTAAAGTTTGATATGATAAAGGGAAAGAGATCGAGTGTCAGATAAATCAAGGTAAAATCTGGGCTCCGACGGTGGTAGAAGCAAAGGAAGCAAATGAGCGTATGGCAACCTCAATGTTTGTTCATGACTTCGATCGAATTGGACTACTTTTTTGTCATCGCATACATACGTCGCAATGAAGAGCAGATCGAGAATTATTTACTGTTAATTTACGACAAAGATGGTGTGATTGTGGTCACTTTCAGGCATGGAGATATCTGTGTGCTCATGCAATCGCTGCATGTATGCATACTGGAATCAATTCATACACTTATGTTGATGAGTTCTTTTACCTATAGAGGATATTAAATATATACAACCATGAGTTCAGATTTATCCCAAATGAATCTTATTGGGAGAATCGAGATCATGATGAATGGTTTCCAAATCCACTACTTCGTAGAAGTCTGACAGGTCGACCGGAATCTACTCGTATTCATACCAGTATGGATATCCATATTAGAGAGAAAGGCCAACCGAAGAGATGTGGATTATGTAGAGGTGATGGTCATTCAAAAAGAAATTGTCCAAACATTCCACGGTACAGGCCTCAACAATAATCTTATTATTTTATAAAATTATTAAATAATTTTTATAATTTTGTAGATTATATTTGATTCAATTACTCGAGTATATATACATATTTATTACTAAATTATTCGAACTGAAATGGTAAAATTTAATGATTTAATAATAATGATTTAATGATTATTAAATTTTAACTTTAATGATTTGATACTAATTATTAGTTAACTTTAATGATTTAATAATAATTAGTAGTTAACTTTAATGATTTGATACTAATTATTAGTTAACTTTAATGATTTAATAATAATTAGTGGTTAACTTTAATGATTTAACTTTAATAAATTAACTTTAATGATTTAATAATAATAATAATTTAACTTTAATTATTTAATAATAATGATTTAATAATGGTAATGATATTCGATTCAATTACTTCAATTTGATACAAATAATTTAAATAATGATTACAACTCTTGACGGTGTCGGGGTATTGTTGAGTAATAATGTCGAGACGCACGTCGGTTTCGTTGTGGTCGTTGCACTTGTTCAGGAGTTTATTCATCATAATCAACCTGCTCATTCATCGAGGGCATAAGTTCCGGTGTTGTAAATATATGTCCACCACAACTATGCTCTCCCATCTGAGGACAAATATTCGTACTTGCCATCATAGTTGTCATCTAATCAAAATCATTTGTTGCCCCAAACATGGGAGATAACATGAATGATTGATGAGGAACATGCTGAGGAGTGTAGGGTGTAACACCAGAATCACCAACCACTTGACTAAATGATCTTGTGTGATCAAAAGATTCTGCTCCACAGTTAGAAGAACTGCCACTCCCACTCCCAGTCATTCTTGGTTTCTCGGGTTTACCAAATTTTTTCGTATACTCTATAAATTGTCGTCTTTCTCTGTTCGTTGTCAATAACGACTTTCCATGTTCCCAAAAAAAATTCAAGTAATCCGAACTTTGTAAGTTAAAATCATCCGCTTGTATGAGAGTGAGTGTTGGCAAGTATGAACCCTGTTGTTCCAATGATTGATATGGTTGACATGCCTCACCGACCAATCCTCACCGACCTTACCCCGCCCATCTAATCGATGGAGAGCGTCATGATTTTCTGGAATAATTGGAATAGGTTGGTAGGAGCCGAACTGCCTCAACACTCTATCAGCAAATTGGAACTCCACAAATGCGAAATGGATCATTGTGTAACATCAGACCAATATTGACAACCCTCCTAGACATGTTAGGTACGCACAACATAATTTCTCCATCAGCGTACGACCTCCAAATAAACTATAAAACAAAATTATATAGTTATTATTTAATTAAATCATTATAATAATCAACTAAATAATTAAAGAACAATATTATAATATAAACATAATAAAAAATAAATTCGCTAATTAATTTTATATATACCTCAACTTTGCATTTGATGTCAATCGTAAACCTAAACTCTTTCACGTTATTGTGCGTCAACTCCGTTATTTCTATTTTATGCCTCCATCTGTATACTAATCAAAATAAAATTATGTAATTATTTATCATTTATAAAATATTCTTTATTTAATTTAAGATAAAATATTTTAAACCAATAAAATTACCTTCCGGCAAGAGGAAAGTCAACTGCAGTTCATTTAATCGGTGTTAACCATGGAATTCTGTACCACGCCCACGATTGTAATAACATCGTGCATCCACCGATTTCAGTCGTATACGCATCATTTACAAGTAATGACGTCTTGCACATCTCGCGATACAAGAACGCCAAAATTGTCGATCCCCAGCTATACTGACGGGTCATAAAGAAGTTCTCAAAAAATGGAAGATATTGTATATGGACAAGATTACTGGATTTATCCGGCATCAATATTCCGTCGATCAACCGTAATATATATGCTCGAGTTGTATATATAATGTCTTGCTCACTACAATGAGGATCGAGCTTAAACTCATTTGCCAACCAGGATAATCTCAGCCGTGACCCTTTTGCTAAATCTTTATCTGGTACCTTCCCAAGGTAACGCTCACATATTACAAACACGTCAAGATCGGTATTTCCCACCACTGCCATTCCATTTGTAGGAACCCCGAGTTGTAAAGACACATCCTCCAAAGTGATTGTACATTCATCACATGGAAGATGAAAAGTATGAGTTTCTGGTCTCCACCGTTCAATTAATGCACTGATCAAACCGGGGACCAACCGAAATTCTCTTACAAAAGCAACATCATAAAAACAACCATTTTCAAATTATCAACAATACTTTGATCTGGCATCTCACAGTTGATAAGTCGAGGACAAATGACTCGTTGTTCGTCATCCTGCAATTTGTTAATCAATGTAATTAAATTAATTCACCGTTCTCAAATAAAAAAATAAGTCGATCATATTATCAGTTATTCCAAATGACTCGAAATGTGTCGACCATCTAGTCTCAAAAGAATATTTTCTTCTATCATGTTTCAACAAATCTAGACAAAAAATTTAAATATTACACTCAAATATTACATTGTTTTATTCAAATAATCAATTGCATGTTATCTACTTTAATAAAAAAATAAAAAAAACATCAAATATAAAACGATCCTTAATTACTATTTGATTCTCAATATTTTCAAACTTTGCAATTTAATCCTAAATTTATAAATTTTTGTTTAATTAAGCATACTAATACTAAATTCCAGCATAGTATATCAACTTTTAATAATTTACTCTTATTCCTTAAATTCCTCAAATTTTACAAAACGGTCCCTAAAACTTTACAATGTTCCAAAATGATCCAAAGCTTATTTCAAATTAGGTAACAACGTATAAATCATTATTTCAGTGTGTAACAACATATAATCACAAAATTAATAAACTTATGAAACTAAAATTATGAGATCAAGATGAAACACTAAACCTTTAAAACAAGAATAAAATAAGATCTAGGGCTTGAGTTTAAATTACCTCAATTTTTCGACAAAGATGATGGATATGCTATGTGATCTCTTTGCTTCTGCTGATCGATATCTCCCTCTCACAGGAACTCACAATGAATTGCCTAAAGCCCCGAGCACTCTTATAAACACATTTGGAACCCATCCCGTGCATACATTATTGGACCTATATGTGAAGAAGACGTCGAGAATTCCCCATCACATGAAGAAGACGCCGAGAAATCCTTATCCTAATGCGAAGAAGACGCCAAGAAATCCTCTAATAAATTCAACACATGCATGCACGATACAGACGTGTAGGCCCCCCACATGCAACTTTCTCTGCTCACCTTGGGACATGCAACAACATCTCTCTGCTCACGTCGTGATTTCCCACGTCCAGTCTCACATGCACAGCTCCCACACCACTGAAGACGCCGGGAGTTCCTATAATGAATCCAACACCATTGAAGACGCCGAGAGATCACATGTCGCCTATAGCAAACACCCCATTTGGGAAATAATCGTTTGAGTGGATTATTTTAGGAATTAAACATTCTAAGCAGCATTATCTCGGCAGTTTTGCCGTATTTTTAGACCAACTAAGATATATTGTTTTAAGATCATCATTTCAGTACAGGAGTAGAGAATTATTATGTTTTTGGAAAAGAAAGAAAAGTACTTTATACAACAGAAAAAGGTTGAAGAAGAAATCTTTCAACTCCCTCCATATGTAGTCCACTCTACCATATTTTGACTAAGAATGGAATTACACATTAAACATGACTTTAATGGCATTGCTGCCACCGGCACTGGTTTGGAAAGCATCTTCTATACCCTTTTGAGTGAACTCGAACCTATGAGTAATGAGCGGCTTCACATCGATCTTCCCGGTGCTCAAGAACTCGATGCAGAGCGGCCATGTGTTCCGGTACCGGAATATTCCAATGACATCAATCTCCCTGTCAACCACACAACCTGACTTATGCTTGATTCATGAGTACTAAAGCCAAAGCATGGGAAGGGATGCTTAGCACACAAGCAGTGTCAAATTATCAAGAGTTTAATTACCTCACAGCAGCTGAAGTGAGAGGGATCGTTAGGTCGCCCTGCGCTAATCCGATGAGACAGACTTTGCCGCCAGCTCCGGTGGCACTCAAAGCAGTAGACATGGTTTTGTTGAAGCCAACACAATCAAAGCTCACATCAATGCAGAAGCCATGGCGTTTTGAATCTTCACCACTTCTTCATCCACATCCTGGAGAATGATCGGTTCCAGTGTCTCGTAATGACTTCAAAATCTAAATCCTAGACCATATGGGGATTGGACTTACTTTAGGGGTCAAGTAAATATGAGAATTACCTGAATATTGGTTGACACTTGAACAGACTCATCTGCACCAAGTTTCTTTGCAATCGAGAGACGACAATCATCGACATCGACAATGACGATTCTGGGTGCTCCAAATGCACGAGCAGCCAATAAAGTGACAAGGCCTATGGGACCTGCTCCAACGATCAACACATTCGTTTCGGGACCTACTTCTGCCCGGCGACAAGCATGGATTCCGACGCTGAGCGGTTCGCACATCGCACCTTCTTCCAGGCTCACATTGTCGGGTAGTTTGAAACAAAGATTTGCAGGATGTACCACCTGATAGCACAGAGCACAATTTGTCAAGTAAACGGCATATGTGACAAATATGGTGGATAAACTAAACTGTGATCACCTTATTGGCAAGAGCACCATTAGTTGGAGGAGATCCAAAGAACTTCATTTTTGGACAAATATTGTAACGACCGTTTCTGCAGAGATTGCATCTTTGGCAACTGATGCCGGGCTCCAACGCGACGCGATCTCCGATGGCTAGGGACTTCACTTGGCTCCCTACTTGTTCTATGATCCCGGCACACTCATGGCCGAGGATCATCGGCTTTTTCATGACGAAATTCGCGTTCCTCATGTTCTACTAACATGCATGGCATTAGAGGCTGGCCATTAATGAACACAAAACAAGATATGAAAGAGCAATTCACCTTGAAGTAGTGAACGTCACTCCCGCATATGCCTAGAGCTTTTATACGTACTTCCACATCATGAGGGCCTAAGAAGACGGATAATATCAAATCCAACGTGTTATGCCTCCGGATAATTTTTAAAAAAATATCAAAATTTCATCAACAAAGACATCCGGAGGATTATACCCTTTGAGCGGAATCTACAGAAATTCTATGAAGATACCATGTCATCCCTAAAATCATCCTCCCCGGAATATTATCCGGAACCGTACTTCTCAACTTTTTGACAATTACATTTGATGGTTGGTAACATTATCTACATAACTTGTTAGCCTATTAATATACATGATGATCTGACACCAACCACCTTACAGTTGGGATATTTATATATACTCCAAGAGAGTTCAAAAGAAGGACTTCTTTTCAGGCTCTATCCGACACCGACCGTCTCTTTATCTCCTATAGAACTATATCAGCTAACGGTTATTCTTTTCCCAACTATGATTTTCCGTCTAAACTAATCAACGCAAAAACAAGCAGTTGACTAATAATTGAAAAGGTAGGAAGAAGGTACCGAGTGGAGGAAGAAGGTAAGGTTGGATTTTAAGGGTTCTGATTCCAAGTAGCCAAGCTGCCATATTCGTCTCTCCGTCGTCATTCCTGCAGATCTTAGTTTCACTAACCTCTGTCATTTCTGATATCATTGGCTCTTACTTCCTCCTGTAAAGATAAACTGAGCTTCACACTCCATACTCTTTGAAACACACATCCTTATCTATATTCCACGCCGCTCACGTAAACTCTTAATCAAACTGACACGACAACACCCAGAATACTTTGCCCTGATTGGTCAATTCTTATCCTTCTTCTAGGTCCATTATTAATAACTGGAATGATTGGATGCCTAATGGTTTTTTTTAGTTAAATTCAGGGTTTTAAATAACGGTCGTAATCGTGATAGCGTCTGCGAAATAGCGGTAGTACTGCCTTTTGATATACCTGCTATACCCGCAATAGAATCCGTTATGACCGCAATCACAGTAAACGAGACATGACCGAAAACGCGCCCGCGATTTGAATCCCTTATCAAATCTACACGTAAATAAGAATAAAAAAATAGGATAAACTATATTTAGTCACTTTTCTATTCCTATGATTCTGTTTTTCATTTTAATAATCATACCTAAAATATATTTTTATTCCGTTTTAGTCATATGCCGATATAAATAAATAATATAATTAATGACATAGTATTATCTTGTGGTACACATCACCGTTACTTTTTTAATGATAAATGACTAAAACATAACATTAGTATAATTTTGAAGAAAAAATTGATAAATAACAAAACATAATCATAAGAATACGTGGGTAACTAAATACGTAATTTATCCTAAAAATATATATGATATCGTATATGATTAACGAGTCATTTAAATTGGAGAGTCAATATAATAACATTATAAATAACTAAATTTAAATTTAAACAATTATATTCTATACGAGCGAATAAAGTATTTCTATCATCTTTGTTACAACAATAGTTCCTCATACGACCTGCTATTATCTTTTCTATACAACTGTTTGCCACCATTGCTGCCTCTTACGACAAACAACACATTTTAAAGTAAAACAGCTGCCCATTAACTTTTCCAACTCATGTCCTTCACCCTCCATAACTGAGTTATCTTAGCATTAAGCCACTAGTTAAGGCAGAAAGAATTGGCAATGGAAGTCAATGTTACAACTCACCCTTTTTTGTGCGACTCCACTAGTTTAACAAGATCTTGCTCTTCGACTCCGTCTTCATTCGGAAGGTATCTACAGAATCCGATATTTATTCGAACGCCAGCCTTTGGGTGTCGACTAATGAAGCACATCGCCCCTTCCTAGCCAGCAATTCCATATGGGATCCCAGTTCTGCTATCTGGCCATTTGAACATAGAACAATTTGATGGGCATTTTGAACTGTGCTTAATCTATGAGCAATCACTAATGTTGTTCTGCCTTTCATTAGATGATTCAAAGCATCCTGGACCAGGCTCTCGCTAACCGCATCCAAAGCACTTGTTGCCTGCAACAGCAAAATATTTTTTAAAAACACATGCATTTACATATTCATATGCTTGCTAAATGCGAATGGAGTTCGATAACATATCAAAAAGTAATTCAGCATGCCTTCACGAAGAAACACAGAGGCCTGGCATTGTAATGCTCTAGCTTCAAGTCTTCGATCAGGTTGAGAATGACCAACATGGCGAGAACGATCAGATTCATAAGGCAAATGAAAAAAAAAATCACCTCATCAAGAATCAGGATGGGAGCATTCTTGAGAAGAGCTCTTGCAATAGCAATTCTCTGAAGAGAAAAGTAAGAATCAATCAGCGCTGTTCGCCTTTCATCTCATCCATACATACATCCACACACCTAGATAATCTAAAGTATGGGACTAGCTCCATGCATGTCTAAATAATCTCTTAGCACAGTACCTGTCTCTGTCCTCACTCAGCAAGCCTCCACGCTCACCAACCAGTGTGTCGTAGCCCTTCCAATCCAAAAAAATTAGAAGAAACAAATGCTTGCAAACTAAGAGTACAGGTGCATAGATCAAATCGACAAACCTGAGTAAGAGATTATAAATTCATGAGCATTGGCAGCTTTTGCTGCCTTAATAATGTCGTCCTTGGATACAACATCATCTGATAAAGCAATATATATTTTCTCCGACAGAGACCGAAAAGAGAACAGGTTCCTGTGTCATTTTCTCCATATGAATATCGAGAAATGCAATAATATATGTCTGATAAAGCAATTCCTTAACGATAATCAGCACCACTTGTTTTCAGTTATAAAAATTTTATGTTACATCCAAGTTTAACCCACCAAATCCAACCTGTTCCTTAAACCTACAACGCCTGCTACATTAATCCACCATGAAAATGCTATGAATCCAATCCACGCTCATTTCCAGGCAGATCCAGAGAACAAAAGAGGGGAAAATTAATAAATTTAATAAATTAAACTCTCCAATCCTTTAAAGTGAATTTTTCGGGTCCCCAAAGAAAGGCTAACTACTGCCGAAGCAAGAAACAGAAGAAGGTACAACGTGAGGGAGTTTTGTCTGATCTTGGAGGCAGATTCAGTTATGATTCCGATTTTCCAGCTTTGGGGCAGAGTCTACAGAAGGAAGAGAAAGGTTCCTCACAGATCGGGAATGATTTGGATTTTCAGGTTGATGGGTCAGTAGTGACATTGATTTCGGAAGATTATGGCAGGGGAAGTATTGTTAGTTTCAGGTGATTCACTTTGGATTTTTTGTTTTTAGGAGTTGGAGGTTCGGATGGTCTCCATCGACAAGACGAGATTCAGTGGCAGAAAGGCGTTTTGAGTGTTTTTGTTGCTTGGTTTTCTGCACTCTTCATGTGGAAGCTCCTGGTGTAGTGTTTTATTTTAGCTTCTATGGTTTCAGTTAGCTGTTATTTTTGGCTTTTATTTTAGGTGTTTTCTTTTGGGGTGCCCTTCAGGCCAAGGTTAGGCTTTTAGTCGGGTCAATCCTTTAGAGGCTGTTGTTGTAGCTATGTTGGATTAGGCTGAGCTACTGTTGCTGTTTGAGGTTGTTTTTGGTGTTTTGTTTTATGTTGGGGGTGGATCTCTGGTTGTATCTTGGTTTTCTTATGTTTAATAATATCCTAAGGCACTTTTTCCTCCTTCCGCTGATTAAGGAGCTTCTCTATAAGCCCCTCTAATCAAGAAAGAGGTTTTTAATGAGGCCTTCAATTCCTATAAAAAAATATATATGCATATATAATCATGGGTAGCAGCCTCGACTCAATTGTCTATTCTGATTGGTATGAACTGTCATATTTCCTTTCTGTAAACTAATTCAGAAACTGTGATATTATTGAACATATCATTCAAATCTTTGCTTTCTAACCTGAAAAGGCATTATTTTATGAACAAGTTGAATGGTCAGCTTATATAGCAAGTAGAACAGATCAGTTGATTAATAATGCTAAAGTTCAGAAGGCATGAATGTTTAGTCTAGAAGAACCATGCATTCATTTGAAGAAAAACTATTTATGCCTGGATATTTAAATATATACTTGATTCACTATTGAAACAACACGGGCCCATTCACTCTTGTCAGATGTCCGTACATCCTCTCCAGAAGTTGTTATACAGCCCCTGGTTGGCTGCAAGGACAAAACATCAATTTGTTTGCATTGCATAGTCAGTAAACAGAAACCAACAATTACAAGTTTCTTGCTAACCTCATAAAAGCGTGCCAATAGTAGTACTACTGTGCTTTTGCCTGCACCACTCGAACCAACTAGGGCAGTCACAGTTCCACATTTTAGGGTTAAATTAAGTCCATTAAGAATTTCCACATCAGGCCTTAAAGGATAAGAAAAGTGTACATCTGCAGGACAAGCAGGTACATTAGATTGTGCAACATGATATTGTATCTATAATAATTGTTCCAAGATTATATTTACCAACAGTGACTGAGACAAGCTTAGCTGTTTTGATGAATTTTGTGCGCAAAAAAGAAAGTATGATTACAGATTACTTGTATGATACTTGCCTCTTAGCGAAGACTGACTTCCTCATTTTACTTTAAAAGGTAAAAATAGAATTTTATCATGCGGAAGGGAAGTAGCTTAAACTGAAGCCAAATGGAAAAGTGCAGTCAATATACATTCAAGAGCAACATCGCCTGACCAGTAATGTGAATCTAATTGTTGACTTTTCCCAAAAGCACCATTGGAGATGAACAATTTGATATTTTCATCATCGACTTCTTTCTTCTGGATTTCCTTTTCCAAACCATAAGCGAGGGCTTCATCAATTTCTGCTCCAGATATAACAGAGTTAATCCTCTCAACAGCAGCAAACGTTCCTCGAAGGTCTCCAAATGTATTAACTGGCCCTCGAACCTGTATGATCATTACATTAGACAACACGTATCAGGTGTAATAAGGGAATGCAGGGAAAGAAAAGGAACTCACAGCGAAGGTTAAAGTAAAAGTGTATCCGATGAATGAAGCCACCGTTCCAACAGATAGTTCACCCTGAAATCAGCATATGAGACAGAGGAGGGAGGAGAAACTTGGTACGAAAAAAGACAAAATATTAAGCTCAGAGCAAAATGGTCAAAGGCACAGGAAATTAGAGTGAAGGGTGAAAGGTAAATCTAAACTACATGGACATTTTGGCTTTGGTTGGGAGTGAGGATGGAAATTTGTTAATCAAATAGTTAAGATTCATAACAACTTCTCTACTTTGTAACTTGACCATTAGATTAACAAATTTCAATCTTTACGTCATACCAAGCAAAGCTTTAAAGAAATGGTATCCCAAGATTGAAATGCTCACTGCCTTCACTTTGCTTCCTCCAAGACAGTACAAGGCCAGTAAAGAAATATAAACAGCAATCCTGGTCAAAGATTCATTTATGGATTTGAAAGTGCAAAGCTTTATACCACTTTTCTGATATGCAAGAACCTGCCAAAACCCTTGAAAATCAGTGTTATGTGCACAGAAGAATTCAACAAAGTTTATATAGAGGTGATAAAAGCTTAAGTAATACATAAGAGCGTCAGTGACTAATATCTTACCTGACTACCAAACATTAACATTTGACGTTTTCCCCCACCAAAAGACCTTACCTATGACAACGAAAGTTATTATTTCAATGATCAGACTTACGTCAAAGCTTTTACTCACAATGATTTCTTAACGTAAAACAAGGATATCAA